TTACATCATCAACGCTAGCATAAGAAAACAATATCTTTTTTTTTCCCAAGCAAGGCTTCTAGTCATAATTAACACTCTCATTTCCTAGACTAATAAAATGAAGATGGGTGAGACTGCTTCAAGGAAGTATGGCTTTTAAATAAAACAAAAGATTAATTTTTGGTTTTGTTTTGTTTCATTTTGGTATCAAAAGTGGCGCAAAAGATAGGTACGCTCAAAAAAAACCAGGCTGGGTTTTCAAGAAAGTCTTCTGCCGAAGAAAGCCAAAAATACGCAGCGAGCACAAAAAGGCTGCACAAAGCGAAAAATTAAAATTAGTCATTATCAATTATCAAAATATTACTTAAAGAAACAAAACTCCCTTAAGACATGCAGATTTTTTTAAGAAAAGAAAGACAGTTTGCCACGACTTACAATCATTTTTTTTTTTTTAACATTTGCTGAAAAACAAAGAGCAGTTGCATTAGAAGATTTTTAAAAAGTTCAAAAGCACGGCCCAGGCCAGCCAGGAAGAGCCAACCAATCACTGCTTGAGGACCTCGAGACGGATCCCCTAAGACACCCAACAAAATCCACCAGTGGGATTAGCAGTGTGGTGTCACAAAGCCCCAAGAAAAATACAAAACAAGAATTACAAAAGAAACGAACACTGAGTCAAAGTATGAAAAACCAGCAATACCACATACCACCAAGAATACTGAGCACCTTGTTTCCATGGCCTGAAGGACAGAAGATCCAAAAATCCAGAGACGAGTAATCCAAGAAAAAAAGAAGTGGGAAAAAAAGCATTGCTGTCAGACTGGAGGCGGGTGGGAGCAGGTGGAAAGGGGAGTCATTCTTTGACTTTTAAGACATTAAGAGAAAAAAGAGTCGAAGAACAAAAGCAAAAACCTTTTGAAAGATAAAGACAAAAAGCAGATGGTCCAGGCTGTCTTCTGCATGTCTGCCACTGTTCTCCAGACCACCTTGGCTTTGGTCCAGAACAAGAACAGCTAAGGAAGAAAAAAAATGATCTTTTTTTTTCTCCAGTTGGACAAAAAAAAAGGAAAAAGAAGAAAAAAAAAGGAAAAAAAAGAGAAAAAGAAAAAAAGAAGAAGAAGAAAAGGAAAAAAAGAGGGACAGATGGTACGCTGTGACTGGTCTGTGGTCTAAAGACCTGGATATGCTTTCTTTGAAGCATATCACAACTTAAATAATCATTTTCATAAAGGAAGAAATGAACAAAACAAAGAGAAAAAGGAAAAGGAAAAGGAGAGCTCACAATATGAGAGTCACGAATCATAACCAAACAGTACAAAGGGAAAAAAAAATTAAGTTGATGGACATTATTGGAATGACTTTGGAAACCGGACAAAGATGAGAGGGATGAAAGGACAGAAAGAATGAGTAAGATCATTCTGTGAACGTTAGTTCAGCACTCTTACCTCTTATTGGTGTACCACCTGGGTGGATAATATGAATGCAAATAAGATTAGAAAGAAGAAGCATTAGTACGAGAAGAAGGAGGCTAGGGCTGGGGAGAAGAATTAAATTAGATTTACAGAATTAAATAAGGTCTTAAAAGAAACTTGAATTACTCTACTGGTAAAACAGGAATATATTAGATAGTATTATTAGATCATAAAAAGCAAGTTGCATTATACCACAGAGGGCAAGGACCATAATAGGCAGCATTGCCTTTCTCAGAGGGCAACTGAGTTCTTAGGTCTGGGGTCACATAGGGTTAGAACTGTATCTCATAGGCCTCATATCCTTAAGAACAAAAAAAAAAAAAATAGAACTATACAATATTTTTTAAAGACATAATTTAGGTACATACTGACTAAGCTATTTAAGTATATATATAAATATGCATATATATATATACTGTGATAGGAAATACTAAGCACTAACTAGAAACAAACACTGTTGACTGAATATCTTATGCTACTTACTACGTTGCATTTGTGTGAATAACAACTATTTGTGTACTAATTCATCTTTCTATACAGTGTTCTTACGATAACGGCTCTGTGGAGGTGTGCATGTGCGCGCCACTATGGAGATCTGGTGTCTACACTGACAGTTAGTAAAATGCATGCCATGCATTTTATTATTAATAATAATAATATTCTGAATATGGAAATTAGTGGGGGGGTGAAGTGCGCTTCAGAACTAAGCACTTACCAATGGATTCTGGAGATTTAAATACGGAGAGAAGAAAGACAGCATAAAAATATTATTATATTCCTTATAATTTGGTACAAATTTTTCAGAGTTAAAGCTTTATTATACTATATCATCTATGTTACATGTGAATAATTAATTCTTTATTTACAATAACAGAATGCTAATCTACACAATTCTGCTGACAACAAGCAAAAGAGGCAGTTAACAAGACGCTTTAACATCACAGGACAGGTCAAAAGCTGAGAATTCTGGGAAGACAGGCAGTTAAACAACTTAGCACTCTATATCCATATTACTACCCATGTCAAAGTAAACACCTTATTTATTAATATATGCCCCCATGAAATTAACTAGGGACAGCTTCTAAAACTTAACAAACTTAGAATTACCTCCACTTTTAATCTACAGAGAGCAAAGGAATAAACTTGGATGCGAATGGGAGAGGGAGAAAAGGATAAGGAGAGAGAGAGAAAACAGCAAAAGCTGGAGTCTACACCAAAAGCAGGCTTCTGTAGATCCAGTCCCTGGAGGGTTCAAAAACCTTGAGTGTGGGCGCACACTACTGTGGCTAATATGTAGAAAATGCTCGCTCACAGTGATAAAGTATTAATAAAAATCCCCTCCTCTCATCGGTACTTTGAAAAGGACTTTGTAAATTAAAAAAAAAAAAATCCATTGGGTTACTCATAAGAGAACGTCTATGTGATTTATGTATTAGTGAAAAGAAAGCAGATGTGCCCAAACTTTACTAAACTTTGATACTTGGATGAGTTCAAATGTAGAAGACAGCAGAAAATACACTTTAATAAAATTAAATCATTTTAGTGTTTAATATGAACATTTATTTTTTAATGGATATAACCATTGGAACTCCTTGCAAGTTCTGAATGAAGTCCAATGTTGAAATAAATTTCTTTCAAAAGAAAACAGAAAGAAAGAGGAGAAAATGGATCCATCGAATACTGCAGGAAAGCAGTAAATTAAAAAAAATTATCAAAAATACAGTCACAGCAGTGAGCAATGTGGATTAAACAGAAGCTGCAAAACACAGAGAGAAGAAAGACTCTGAAACAGGTTATGACATCACACACATGGACAACACATTAAATAACAGAGAAAAAAAGAAGAGGGAGAAAAATCAATACCTCAAAATTAAAAATAATTCAAATAAAATAAAATAAAAAAATAAAGAGAGAGAAAGATTTTTTTAAAAAAAATTCTCTAGGAGTTACTAGAAACAGTAACAAGACCCTACCTGATCGTAACTGCTTAATACGACCATTGTTGTTGCTTGTGTCGACAGGTAAGAAATCTTTGAACCAAGTGATTTCTGGATCCGGATTACCACTGGCTGCACAGAGCATGGTGGCAGTGCGTGTACGCTCCACCACCTTCAGCTGCGGGCCCATGTCAATGGTAGGAAAGCCCCTGGGAATTTGGTCCTCTGTAAGACAAAAAAGTAACACAAAAACTGCGTTAAGAAGTCAAATGTCCAGAATTCAATATTACCCATAAATCTCCCTTTTTACTTTATTCATTATGTTGAGAACCTAACACAAACCAAGTACCATTACATTGGGACACAGCCATCATCTCTGTTTCAGAGCAGCAGAGTACACATATGTGAAAGGCCAACACACAAATAGCGGAGACTGTGATACAGATAGAGCTCCCAGTGATTTCTTCAGGAGCACAGACCGAGTAACTACACTATCTTGTGCCTGAGGAGGTCAGTGAGTATCAAGCGGAAGCTCTGATTTCCAAAAGCCCTTGAGGAAGAAGTCCGGGTGACCAAGTTGCAAAAAGGAAAAAGGGATTTTAGAGAGAGAGGAATATTTTCACTGAGTAGGTAAGCATAGACTAGTGTGGAAAGTAAATAGAAGTGCATGCCCCCTGCAAACAAGCAGGTTAGCAGGGAGCTAAGTTAAGCTGTCTGTACTCCAAGCTAATTTGTTTCTCTTATGACTTAAGTAAAACTAAACACACTTAACCCTCTGGGTCCACTGGTTCAACACTTAAATGTTGCAAATATTAAACCAGTTGAAGATTCAAAGTGTCTGGAAATAAATTGACTGTACTGAATATGTACAGGCATTTTTCTTGTCATTATCCCCCAAACAATGCAGTATAACTATGTATATATCATTTACATTGTATTATACAGTTACAAGTAACCTAGAAATAATAAAGTATATTCGATAATGGTGCAAGACTATATGCAAATACCATACCACTTCATACAAGGGACTTGGTCATCCACTGATTTTGCTATTGTAGGGTGTGTATACTTGTGTGTGTTCTGGAATAGATTCCTCTCAGATACTAAGAGACGACGGATGTAATGCTCAATCATCAGATGCAATACAGATGAATTTTTTATACGAAGTTTTAATTAATCAGAAATTTATCTAAAAGGGATTTAACCAAAGAACAAGTCAACTCCCTACTAATAACACAAAAGTAAACAGGTCCTTTGGAAAGAGAATAATTTCCTCCATCTCTAAGTACCATTTTCAGTCATTAAAAACTTGAAATTCCTAAACTTTGAATTTCAAACTCATTCGCAGTTGACTACTCCATATCCACATCAAGTTATTTTAGATTTCTGTTGAGAAATTAAAGTCTACTGAAATTCCCCTATCATGCTTCACACTGATAATCTACATTGCCAGTTCTTCCAGTCAGGAATAGAAAGGTATTGAAGGAATTTTGGTTCAATGAAAATTATCTGAAGTAGAATTTAGCTGTTTGTTTGAAGACTATTAGAGAAACATTTTGCCTTCCAGTTGGGATGACTAACAAGAGACCATTATACCCTTGTGACCACCAGTAACATTTTCACACACCAACAATTCTAAAGTGACTCAAAATAATCAACTCCAGTGAGCAAAACATTAGAAATCATCAGATGTGGCATCAAACTTCCCCTTGGATATCATCTACAAGCTCCAGCATGAGTGACAAATCCACAGTGGATTCTGTGAATCTTACTGAGGTTTAGTTACAATTTCTACTGCAGAAGCCCAACTGTGGTGCCTCCACCATGCTTTCAGACAGCTCTAGGCGCTCTCCTCCCTCTCCTCTTTCTAGTCTGCAGGGGAAATTAAACGTCTGAAAGCTGCCTAACAAACTCCTTTGTTAAATCAGGTCCCACTTTTCTTAGCCTTTCATGGATCACTTCCTCCACAGGAAACTTCTGTCTACACTGAGATTGTCACCATTCCCCAGACAAATCATGTCTGTTGAGGAACTGTGCCTCCACGAAGCCATCCAGATCAAATTGCTTTCATTGTAAAGCTTTTTCCAAACTCCCACATACTTAATCATCTCCTTGTCAGAGATACCACAGCAGTGGGTTCCTAAACCCACTGTCTTGTACTTACCAATTATATCAGGTTATCCCTCCACACCATGAGTTCTTTCATGTCTCATCTGCATTCTAAAGCCCTACCCTCTTGCTAGTCTAGATTTGAAGATTTTAAGGTAAACTCCAGTGATTTCTATTCCTACTTGTGAATAAATATATCAAAATGCTTCTGGGCAAACTTTCTCTCTACTATACAGAACTTCTGGTAAAGAGGTGACCAGAAGTATATATTCAACACTGGAGGGGTTCTGGATGTGAACACTTGAAGATTCCACCAAAGAAGAAAGTGCTCAAGAAGAGCAAAGTTCAGTGAACAAGTCTAAGTTATTACGAGAGAAAACTGATGGGGGTAGTAAGCAAGAAGTATAGTCTGGCCCTTTTGCTCAGCAGTATGGAGGTTAGATATCTTCTGTTAAACAGTCTGAGCAAGATCAAAAGTTCAGTTTGACATATAAATTTATTAGAGAATATTTTCCCTTTAGACTAGTTACTTAGGGCCTGGAACTTCAAGTAAGTAAATAAATCTGTGCATGTACATTTATGAGCATGTGTGTATTATATATATTTAACTTCATTGGACAACACATGTTAAGTTGAAAGTTGCAGCTCTTTTAAGAAACCATAACATTGTGTTTACATAAAAGCTTATACATTCTTAGTCAAGCGGAGATCTACAGTGGACAAGTGTCAGAAACAGTGATTAAGAGTGTAATATCAAGATGATTTTTTTAAGTCTCCAAGGGAAAATTAAAAATTAAAACTGAAATAAGAAGTATCTTGCAAATTAGGCTATGCTAATTTTAATAACTACTTGAATTTCTTCAGTCAGTTCTTTATGTCTTTAAAAATTCTGCCCATATATTTCCATCTACAGTACAGTTATAATGTTATTTAGGAACAAAAAAAAAATAGCAGAAAGAGCAATAGCTGCTGTACCACACATATTATATTATTAAACACTGAACTTGGCAGCTATTGACACAAAATGTTTCAAAGGATTAAAATAATTTATTTCAAGTGCTCCAAAGTYAACTACATTGCCTTCATCATCTATAAATGAGGTTCTAAAAAAGTCTTAGGATTTGTTATTCTTCATTTTTAAAACAACACAGTGAGGTTAAATTAAAAAAAAAATCACCTTGGGATTCCTGATTTTTTTTTTTATTCCCCAGGGCACTATATCACCTTCCACCCTTTGTATTTAACTACTAGTTACATTCACAGCCATGAATATTGTCCTACTAATTGTTGGTTTTCTTCTAAAAGTTCATCTCTCAGAAGAACCAAGTCAAAATTTACAGGGCTGATGGGTAGTAAGTGTCAAAAACTTAAAAAAAATTTTGAGCCACTCCAAAGCTCCTTCCAAGGAAATCTAGATTCACAAGAAATGAAGTCCTCACCTTTGGGATAGCAGAAAAAACTGACTTATGCCCACCTGAAAGTAGCCTAATATATTTGCATGACTTTTTTTTCCTTCTTGACTCAGAGAGAATACTCCCGAGCCTCCTTATATATATAAAGTATACAATAAAGATAATCATTCTTGCATACTAATCAAACAGAGAATGTAAAGAGCATCCTTTTCTTATTTTTAATAAGGGTAATTAAATTCTATCCACCACCCCCCTTTGCACAGAAACTCTTTGAATGCACATCCTTCATTAAATTTTCATGAGAAACATCACAATGTAACAGATTCGAATAGCCAGAGCTGCTACACTTTGACAGTTGTGGCTTGTTTCCAATTTGACTGTCAGGTATTTGGCAATAAATCTCAGTATTCAACATAAAACGAACTGTAGAAATAATGAAATTTCTAATTGGAATGCTTATCTTAGTGGGTGTAGTTTAGAAGATGTTAATTGCCTTTTTTCACCCTCTACATTTATTAGTGATTTATACAAAACTGCCTTGGCTATTGGATGACATCAATTTTGACAGCTTATCAAATGAGTGGTACCAGAAACTTGGGAATCAAATCAATACTCTTACTGCCTTAACACATAAACTTTCACAAGGGGAAAAAAAAAAGCAGTTATCAAAAAATAATAAATTGTCAATGTTTAGTTTTAAACTTTTAGATGAGATGAAAAGAAAAACATTTTGTCCTATTCATTAATGTGCTCATTAAGTTTTAAAGTGCCTTACTTAACACCGTTCCATATTAATATTCAATCATGCAGAATTAGCTACTAATTCATCAACAATTTAAATCAGACTTGACCTTCATGAAGCCATTTGGTCTGTCATTTTGAGAGGCCATTAAAGGGCAGATTACTATGTACTTGTGCTTACTGAATCGTAGACTCATACATATTTTGTTTGGAATGGCAGCTATAATAGAGCAGGAAATATAGCCCATTCTCTGAATATGTTTATGTCTTAATGAAAAATGCTGATAAGAAATTTTTAGTTCTGTTTAAAAAAGAGAAACACGAATGTCAGCATTTCTCAGAATTAACTTTCCACTGCTATTCAACTTGTTAACAATCCCTGACCTGCCCAGGACTTCAAAGGTATCTATGATGAAAATAGCCTGTCTCTGTTTTACAGGAAGTCAGTCCTTAGACATCTGTCAATGATCAAGAAATAGGCTTTGCATAATTTGCTCAATTAAACCACTTTCATTGTTTATGCATGAAGATTATTAGTGATACTACTTTAATTTTTGCTCCAAGTCAACAAASACTGAACCTCTCACATTTGAAAGGAAATCTTGAAACTCTAAATTACCTCTTGAGGCCAGAGTCCTTCTGAGGTAGCCTCAATTATCTCGTTGTCTAATCTTGCTAGGTCTCTTAAAGACCAGACCAGTCCTTGCCCACTGGTCTAACCAATTTAAGGATATCTTCAAGGAAGGATTCTATATTATGGTTCTTGGAAAAATCCAAAATTTATCAGATTTATCACCAATACATTTCCTAGGAAAAATCATGTCAATCAATGGTATGCTTCCTCAAATGCATTATCAAAAGATTTGACAAGTATACAAGAACTTTGGACAAAAACAGTGGTATACTAAAGTAACATCCAAATCCAAGGGAAAAGACGAGCAGTTTTTTCCTTGGTGAATTTGT